TATCTTAAACAAGGGAGCTACAGCCAAAGCCTGTATGCGTCTGTGGTGCAGCCGGACGTGTCACTCTAAAAACAGTCGGTATTGAGAGCCTATGACGCAGGCTAGCAGTCACGTACATACTCGTAGTAAAAATTTCCCGGAAAGGGAAGATATTCAAATGAATTGCTTTTTTGCTCTTTATTATTTAGTATTTCTACAATGGGCTTAAAGCTACGACCCATGCATTGATCTTGACCAATACGTTATTCATTTTGATGAAACAAAGTACGAATTTTTTTTAGATGTTTAATTTTATTATGTTTACAGAGCTCAAAAAGTGCTAGAAGAACAGGTTAGACAATTAATGAATTTTAAGTTAGTACATGTAATATTACAGTGATGATATCGTGGCGGTTCGGCTGTCTTTGTGTTTTGCTTTAGTCCTTATAGTTTAATACTTTGAAAAAGACCTGATTTATCGTAAAACTCATCTTTTTACGTTGGTATTCGCTTAACTACATCACTGATGGTCGAACTTCAGCCTTGTTTCGCCAACTTTGTTTCTTGACTCCGTCAACATTACTGAAGATTTTATTTCTTTTACCAGTAATTATGCGGAGTGAGACAACAAGTTCAGTCATGAGATTACACGAACTGATCACCTACAAGAAGTCTTGATTCAGACTCTCTCTCTCTAACTAGCATGATAACAAATGTGAGAAAAACAATCAAGAAGAATTTGCATGTCGATAACTATATCTGTGCTTATTTTTTGGTAGCGAAGCCAGCCAGCCCTGTGCGTCAAGTGTGGACACCAAACTGCTGTGCTGTTCAATTCACACAGTGAAGCTGCCATAGATACCATTAATCAACTGACAAAGTAAGAACGAAACCGTCCGTGATTATCTCAGGGCATTCGTTATTTGACGTCACATCACCGAAATTCTAAATTCAAGACTACTGAGCTTGTAACTTCGTTCGTTTAACAATGTTCTCTGGCCAATTACAACAGCCTTCCTCAACCTGATATGAAATCAAGAAACTAAATGTTATCCAAAGCAACACTGCTATACCTTCAGATTATGCTTACAAGTTAGAAATGATGACTGAAGATTTCCAATGTGAAATCTAATGCTATTGGTAGCAAAATCTGTTGTTCTTCTAGCAGATTTTTTTGGCCGCCATGTTGTTGTGCCAAGTGGTACACCAAAATTGGAACCACGTCTCAATGTTGTTCTTTGTTCTATCGAGAGAAGGTGAAGGGTGAGAGAGTTAATCTCCCATATGGGTCTCATTCCTACGGTTATCCTTCTAAATGTGCCCATATTGCCTACCGTAAACATCGACTGATAAGCCGCACTCGCAGAAAAGCTGCACTCCGAGTTTAACAACTCAAATTTCGGAAAAAAAGTTCGTGGAAAGAAATCAAGGTAATCCACAAGTAGAGTCTTGAGAAAGATTCTTTTCATGTACATTTCTTGATTTATTGAATGTAAACCCGTGTAAACTACTCAAACTGAAACCCTTACCTATAATTTTAGTTTCTGCAGTAGTATGGAAGTGATGTCTACCGACTTTGACATATATTTGATTTTTCTCTAGTATTTTTCAACCAGATTTTTTATTAGTATTATTATTATTATTATTATTATTATTATTATTCCTGTCAGTTTTTCAATACAACAACAAGAACTCTTTCGTTCTTTCGTTCATAGCCTAGTAGCCAGGCGTTAACGGTTTTGGTATCTCTATAAAGTAGAGATATGTTCTATAATTACATAGAGATACTAAAATTGTACAAACAGTTAAGACGATATAGACACTTTAAGGCTATGTTCACACTTGGTTTGCGAGCACAGTGCCCGAGTACGTTTTTCGCTAGGCACTGATGTGAACACACCGTTTTTCCAAGCACTCGACCTTGAACTCGGTCACTAAATGGTACTTGAAGTGCCCAGCGTCTGAACGCTACACTATTTTGTGTCGGTGTCCAGGCACCTGTCTCCCGACTTCAGAAATCCCGGAAGGGTCTAAAAATAGCCAATCCTGTGACACGAATGTTACTCACGTGGACAGCTCGGGGAGTCAGTTAATCATTACTACCTTTCCCCAGTACCAGCTTGGCAACGTAAGAGTAAGTCATGATGTGTCATTAATCTGTACTTAGGGAGAGAGATGACCTGATGAATACGCTGACTGGTCAGAAGGCGGTACTAGCTGAAGTCCGTCAACGAGAGTTTGAAGCTTATAACCAAGTGAAGAAGAGTTGTCACATGGTGGAGCAGGCTCAGTTGGAAAAAGCAGAGGTACACCTTATCGGTGTACGTTATTCTGTACTAGAATGCATCAGTGTTGCATCCGTTGTTAACTGATAACGATATTTACAAAGTTCATTTTCTCTCAAAGTGCTTCTCTCCAACCATGAGTTAAATGGGTACCGGTGAATTATTGGGGCAATCTGACGGAGTGACAGAATGCTGGGAAACCCGACAGGCTGCGCTAGAGGGAGTAGTAAATCCTCCTAGCCGCTTAATGCGACAGACACGGGAGTTAAGCGCCAAGAGCTATGAGCCTGTTGAGCTTATTAGACTAAAGAGACGAGTCCTCGTGCTAAACCAGTCCTGTTTCTTGTCATTTTTTATGTAAATCAAGCTTTTAATTAGAATTTTTTTAGTGTTTTTTTATTAGAAATGTTTTCGCACAAAACACTCATTTTGAAACAGAGGAAAAAGGAAACATGACCGGAATGGTCCACTGTGTTTTCACACAAACTGACATAATTAAATCAGGCCTGCGTATGTAGATTTGGGTGTCACGGAGTTCCGTCCTGTCCCCAGGCAATAATCCATGTACGGCAACTGAAAGAAGATTTACAAAAGGAGCGAGAACGACATGATAACTACATGAAATCATCCAGCGAGAAAATGGAGAAGGAGCGAGAGAAGGTGCGCGAGGCATGCCGAGAGGAGGTCAGCGGCCTTGTTAAGCAGGTATGTTTCAAGACTAGAAATGTAGGTTCGCGATGGGTATGAAGAAGGTATGATTTTTAAAAGCTCTTGACCGGAAGAGTTACTGAGTATTTTATTCTTTTAAAATTACGTTTTGCTTTTTCTAAATGCAGTTAGAATCATCAAGTGAGGCTCGTTCGGCATTAGAAAACCAGCTGGAACGACTGACACGAGATAAGGTTTGTGTGAACCAGTCTTTTTTTGTTTATTGTTTCCAGTTTTGCTGTGTTGAAAAGTAGTTATTTTGTTTGTTGTTGATTTAGTGTTATTATTTTATGTCAGGTCGACCTCATGGCTGAGCTGGAACAGGCAAAAAGTCAAATAATGGCGCATGCGTCTTTAATAACGCAGGTCAGTTTACATCGTGACAAGTAGAGTACAGCGTCCCACCTTCACTTGCTCGTAACGCAATCTTATCGATAGAACATACTGCGTGACGGGCCAAAAGGCGGCTTAATAATAGTGCACTCGCTTGTGATTTAAAACTTTTGTTCTCTCACCAGGCTGGTGACAACGTGCAGAAAGAACTGGAACAAACGCAGACGAAGCTGTCGATGACCTCACAGGAATTAAGCTCACTTAAAACAACAGCTCAGCAAGCTCAGAGAGAAAGAGAACAGGTCAGTAAACACAGCCATCAGCCGACCCTTGTTGACTTGTTCTCAAGAAAGTGGGTCCGCAATGTGTACGCTCATTCATCATGATCGTGAAAGGACTGCAAGGTCAAAAAATTGCGTGCAAAGTGTGCGATTTTCCATATTTGATGTTATTTGAATGTATCCACTTTCAGAAATAAAGGAAACAAGAAAACGACGGATATCTAGGGTATCTCTTAGAGGATTTTTGGTATACTTGGAAATTTACTCACCAAAACGTTCAAACTGACATAATTTCGTTGTAAACCACTGACCACAGAGTACCAAACAATCTAGCGTTATTAATAATGGTAATAGGACTGAGTGGAGTCCAGTTCGGTCTGTAACCATACGAGTGATTAACAAAATCGGACGACCGCGAAGCGGGAGTCCGATTTGTTAATCACGAGTATGATTACAGACTGAATTGGACGACACGATGTCCTGTTACCAATTAATCAAAACTATGACAAAATTCGAAAAACGAACAAACCATCGATTGATCGCTGAACGATTAAACGTCGCTATGAATGCTGAAAAACACAGCAGTTTACTCAACAAAGTGCACCGCAACAGCTCCCTCAAAATGACGCGTACTGTCCAATTACAAGCATGACGCGTATACACTGTCCAATTAATGCTCAAATCGGGCTGCTGATAGCCAATCACGTTCGAGAATTTTGTTACAGTTTTGATTAAATACATATTTGCCTGTGTCTGTTCAGGAGAAAACGCGCTTAACAAGCGAAATGGAAGGCCTTCGACGGCGCCTTCAAGAAGCTGAACACTGCTGGATGGAATGTAAAGAGGACTGCATCAGACTTACTGAGAGATTAAATAATGCAGAACGGGAGGTAGGTTAAATGCTCAGGCTTGTCATCCTCTTCAGCTTCTCGATAGTATATTTTCGCTGTACAGTCGAGCCTCCACTGACGACCACCTCTCTACAACGGCCACATTCTTTGGTCCCGGCGGACGGTGCATACATTCACTCTTATTTTAACCTCTCTACGACGGCCACCTCTCCACAACAGAAACGGCCACTAAAACCCGTCCCAAGTGCCAAAAATTTTCCAGTCGATAGATTTTTTAATTTTTGCGGCAGTCAGATAATGAGTTACTTGTGTCAGAAATGCCAAAAAATTGGAGTTCACCGACTTCGTTTCAGAGATAAAGCGTGTGGAAAACTACCCTGATTTTGAAAAATTGGCGCACGTAATTCAGCATGCTCTACAGGGGTTTATAATTAAAAATATCGAAGGTGAGTCAATGGAGGCAAACGATCTTAGTCATATTTTGTAGAAGTGAGTCTGTTTCGTAAATAATTCCAAATGTTACCAACGTTTTCACAAAACTTAACCCCTCAAGAGTCATTTGAAACCGTCGCACAGATAAACAAGAGCTAAAAAGAACGGAACCCGATGGGGCATTTTGCAAAAAAAATCAAACTTCTAGTCGATAGATTTTCTTCATTTTTTTCGCTAAACATAGAAAATCGGTAGAGAAAAATGGTTCATCAAACGAAAAATAGGGGTCACCGAACGTCCAAGATCGCTAAATCCGGGAAAAGCTATAGCAATGGCCATCTGCCCTATCATTGTTCATTTTATCACTTAGCACGCGCGCTCGTGCATGACGTGGCGTGTGAATTTGCGTGCGCAGTAATTAAGGATGCGCAGAAACTATTAGCGCGAACGTCCTGAATCAACGACCGACGAACGGTGTAGACAAAACCCATTTTTTTTTATTGGAAATGGTCACCAAACTTATCCGTGCCGCGCGTCGTTGGTCTGTTTCTGTGAAGTTTTTACTGACATATTTTCCTTTATATACGCTAAAATATACATGTTTGAAAACAACAGAAAAAAATATGTTGCACCCCCGAAAAACCGCGAGTGCCATATTACACCCCTACCTACCCATACCCACCTCTCAACAACAGCCACTTTCCTCTCTCCTCAAGGTGGCCGTTGTGGAGAGGTTCGACTGTGTAAGCATGATGGTGTTACCGATCTCCTTTATGCAGGTTAAAAGCGCTTTAGCTGCGAAGGAAAAGCTGGACAAAACAAGAGGTGAAGACATGGAACGTGTCAGTAAACAAAACAAGCAAAGGGAAGAAAAACTTGCCAAGTTATTACAAGAAACGGAGACGAGGCACAGTGAGTTTACTTGAAATCTTTCACGATGGCTTTCTCTGTTGGATCATACCAACCGTGAGATCGCGCCTTGTATGGACCATACATGCTCATAACCGTAGCAGCATCGCGCCTTATGCCATCACAGTAGGAACTTAAACGAAACTAACGGTGTTTATTTTCTTACAGAGTACTTAGTTTACTGTCTTTTTATTCTTTTGAAAGAGACATCTTAAAAAACTTAGCCTTAACTCTTAAAGTTTGCTTTTATTTTACAGCCCGTCAAATCCTTGTTACCTTTAATTTTATTACTATCTTTTACTTAAATTAACGTTTTTCTAGGAGTTTTCCTCAATTTGAGGGTAGCATTGTACATTAAAAAATATATATATATATTTCAATTCTTGACAAAGCCGCTTTAAGGTGGCTGAAAACAGTTTTTGATACCTGTGTTTCATTCACCTTTTTCTCTAAAATCCTTGATCCCTCGGTCGCCAAACATGGCAGCAAGCAAGTTAACAACAAGAACTTTGTTTTTTTTTTTCTATGGTTAAGCTGACGTATGTGCCGTTGCCATGGCANAACACTTGCGCGCGCAACGTCATAAATGATTACCCTATGGAGCCACCTTAAATACATTCACAATTTGTCATACGACTGTGTTCTTATGCTCCTAAAGCCCAGCTCAGAACTGAACTGCAACAGATGCTGGAAGCAGAAATTCAAGTGTGCAACCGGATGAAGGACGAATGCAAAAAACTAACTCAACAGCTGCAAGATTCTGCTGAAAAATCAAGGTAGACTTCACTGGGGTAACTTGTGAAGATATAATATTGTACTCATGTACATACATACTACCAAGGCATGGTTATACTGGTTAAGGTATTGTTTACGGATGATCCCGTCGTGCTGTAAGAACAGAGTGCCATGCGCCACAAGGCGCCATTACAGGATCAATATTGAGTCAGTTTGTATGACATCTGACACCGGAAAACCTTGCAAAGATCTGGCTACTGGAGGAATAAAGCGATGAAAAAGAATAAAACCACACCCATCCGCTCCCCTTCCCTTCCCTACCCTCCCTTTCCCTCCCCTTCCCTCCCCTTCCTTCCCCTCCCCTCTAAGAGATGTGATTTACGATCTCTTCAATTTTCAACGTTATTCTCGCAATGTTAAGATCAAGTTCATATATGGCTGGAAAACCGCACACCTAGAGCTGTAAATTAAACTTTAGTCCAGGGGTTTACCAAAGAAAGATAGGATATTTGCTTAATTTGGTTTTGAACATTTCAATCTAATATCTGAGTTCCTATCCTCTGTTTTTGTTGACTTGATTTATGAACTTCCCTAGACAAACCCTTTCTAATTGAACATGTCTACCAGGTTCATAGTTACCAATTACCGGTTACCAGTTACCATAAATAAGCAAACAAACAAATACGGCATTTACAGTTAAAAAACCCAATAGATATTGCCAACCTTAAGCCACGCTTAGATACACTTGGTCTTCACCGCATATATTTTTTCCCTCTTCCGGCCCCTGTCTCCTCAGAGTGCCAGGTACAAAGTAAGGTACCATTTACCTTTAATCCACCTGTTGTGAATAACATAATTTTTTCATCTAAACCGCTGTGAATATTGCCTCGGAGATAACGCTCTATCGTAGCGACCACCCTGGGAAGATTAAAGATTCTTTTTCTTTTTGTCGAAATTTAGAGACGCCAACCACGAATGCAACAAAATGAAGAAAAAATTAGAGGAATCCATGGCGCAAAGACGGGCCCTTGAGGCAGAGAGCGCGAAAAAGGACAAACACTTACACGAAATATCATCAAGACTCAAACATAGCGACGAGAACGCCCGTAAGCAAGTCGACCAGGTAATACGGGCCTTATTCACTTCATCACGGCGTAGCTTTATTTATAAGCGGTTAACTAGTGTTGCCCTCCCCCTCCCGCAGAAGGGATGATGCAACTTCCATTGTAGACAGCCCATGAAAGGTTACCTTTCCCCACCCCCGCCTTATTCACTTCATCAAGGCGTAGATTTATTTATAAGCGGTTAGCTAGTGTTGCCCTCCCCCTCCCGCAGAAGGGATGATGCAACTTCCATCGCAGACAGCCCATGAGAGGTTACCTTTCCCCACCCCCGTGATATTTCGTCGAGTTCTCCTAACCACCCTTGAGTGTCTTTGAAGTTGTCGCCCAGGAAAGCAAAATGCACTAGTTAGCCGATGAGCAAGTCTGTATATGGGTGCTTACTTGCAGGCTGACAATACCAAACTAATAACGACACTCGATCCTTCGACTTATTCATCTCAAAAATATGAATTTTGAGATGGAACAACCATTTTTAGTGCGTGATTTGAAGACACAGTCACCTTTTTCACAATGCTACACGTATAGGAATGGTAGCATTGGTTTCTCCATGACGACATGCAACGTCACTTGAGTGAGAAAGCTGGGTCGTCATGTAATCTTTCACTTGTGTATCAGTTTGATTTTGTTTCTTGAACAGATGTGCCAGTTGTTGGCCTCAAGAAACAACTTGATGAAAGAAAGGAAAATTCTTTGTCAAGAGGTCGAATTCTTGAGAAAACAGTGGATGTCAAAGACGCCTTCCGAACCCGTGACACCTGCCATTGAAACTGCAAGTAACGTCAGTGCCGAAAATGATGACAACGGTCACGCAAACGACGAAAAAGAGCGTGATGCGTGACACCCACTGACTCTGACACTGACGTGTTGTGACTCTTATGGGGATTAACCACGCGTCAAAAAAATTACCACACTGTAAATTGAACGACATATCTTATTTTACTTTTTATCGACCATCACAAGTGGTCGATTGTTTCTAACATAGTAGAGTATTTTTATCACTATTATCTCTTTTATATTCTGATCTTATTTGTTTTTTCCTTGACAACTGTACAAAAGAGATACTATATTTGTATATGTATATTTTTAATGTTATTTTCTCTTAAAAAGAGAGGTAATTACAACAGTAAAAAGCTATAAAATGGTGAGAATTGTTTTACAGTAATTCACTTTGCTTACAAAGTGTTCCACGGCATGATACCAGCAAACACTTTGACATCAGTTTGTCGCTCATATAACGGACTTGTCATGTGCTTATAACTACATACAGAACATGCGGCATGGCTAAGTTGAATTATAACTGAAAACAATTATGGCGACTTCATCTCGAATATCATCTATTTAATACAGTTTTTTTCAACAAAAACAAACAAACAAACAAACAAAAAATGCGTAACGTCCTTCACCATCTTAGATGTTGATTCTACAGCACCGATACACATATTTAACCATGTCTTCTTCATAATTGCTGGCCAATTTCAACAAAAAGCTCTGCAGAAACTCGCCTGGATTGCAGCGTACCCACTGACGATCAAGATACTGGATCGCACCGTTGGCTTTCGGAGCCCAGCCAGTTCTCTGGTTCGTGCAGTGAAGGGCAAGGTTTTCAAATCTGTCCAGCACTTCCATGGTGTTACCATTGAGGTTGGAGTATTCGTCGTCGATGTTCTAATGGACAAAAGAAAGTTATAACAGGTAGCCAGTAAGTGCCGAAACAGTCGACCCGGAGTTGCTGTGAAAATGTGCCGTGATGGCGTAACACTTTTTTAAATACTCGCACTATTGGCATGCATGACAAAAATCGGAAACTTTACGAGAACTTCAACGGAAACACTGAATGGACAATAAACGGTCACTGTTCCCGTTGCTGTTTCCTCAACAATGATTGTGTAAAAAGAAATTCGACTTTTCTTCCCTTCAGTGTTCTTGCTAGTTTGCTACGTTTTGAAACTTGCCGTGCCTAAAACTACATTTGATGTCTTCGAGTACCCCCACCCCCCGCCCCCTCCGGGTGCGCAGCGCAAGCCTAAACAAATTGACAGCACAACTACCAGCGAAGGCTGAGAAGGAACTTCATGTACCAGTCCACTTACCGTGACCTCAGCCTCCAGCTGTCTGAGCTTGTCCCTATATCTCTTTATCACAAGGTCCTTTGTGTAGATCTCGTCTTTAAGGTTGACCATCTTACTGTTTAGCAAAGTCTCTAAGTTCTGAAACTGCGATCGTTCAACTTTGGAATCAAGCTTGGCTGACAGCTGGTCGATCTCGGCTGTCTGTCTCTGTATCTTCCTTTCGAAAGAGGTGATTTGACGTTCCATGTCGGAGAGTTTAACGGAAAACGACATCAGAGCCCCTAAAGCGGAACTTTGTGAGGCCTGCCGCTGATAAAATGTAAGAAGCGACACATGAGTTAAAGAGCCACTCGAATCGGAGGTCCATAAGTTCATATTCACCCGGCATAGTCAACCGAACCCAATCGAGCTGAATTTCAACCGAACGCTATCCAACTAAATCTATGGACTGAGTTCGGCAATCGATCGAAATCGAACTCACACAAAACAATTAGCGGTGGCGAATGGTCCTTCAAAAACCATGGGTCTCGCAAAATTTTCGCCGAATTTCACGTGTCTCGCAGTCTCGATTTTTCTCACAAAGCTGTCTCGCTGTCTCGATTTTTTTCAAAGCTAAGAAAGTCGCGAAGTACCGATTTATTATTATTATATATTTTTTATAAAGTTAAATGACATCACATCTTAGAACCTGAACGTCTTTAAAACACTTTAAAGTCTCGGTCTCGCAATTAGAGAAATCAAAATGTCTCGGGCTCGTAAAGAAAAACGCTAATCTCGTCCCCTCGTCTCGCATTTACCATTCGCCACCCCTATAATTAGACAATCGAACTCAATCGAACGTTTGATTTCCGAACTCTTGAGTTTTGTGAAACTGTTGTTGAAAATCAATAACAAGTTTTTCGAGGCTCGACTTTCTTGGGTAGAACAAGTGTTTTTCGTGTTTTTGAGACCACATAACATTATCTTTGTTGAAGTGATTTCAATCACCGAACGCAATCACAGAATCTAGTGGATTGAGTTGGGTTCGATTTGTTCAATTGAGTTCGATTCACCTTTTCGGCGTTAGATTTCACGTGTAGTGTCACGTGATTTATGATGTAAACAAACCGGGAAAGTTCGGACATTCTAGTCAACCACGCACTACACGTGTACGAAGTTTTCAACTTCATCAACTTCCTGTTACTACTAATATAATTTTCCCTCTGCCTTAAGTCTTTGAACGTAGAATAGTTTCAGCTTCAAAATGGCAGAAAAAATGAATAAAAGCGACTTCAACGCCATGAATGTGGCAGAACCTAAAAAAATATTTGCAGGAGNAATCGGCCGATTTTATTTTTTAGCCGGAAATCATCGGTCGTTTCTTAGGCGCAGGGCCTCTTAAATATTTGATTTACCACTCAACCGATTACGACAGGCAGGGAATCGCCGCTTACAAGTCATATGAAGATTATCGCTTATTCGCTGATGGTTACGTGGAACTTTTACTAACTGCTCAGTTGAATCAAGAGGGTGTTCTTGTATATGTAGCCAAAGTGCGACCTTTCATGATAATCAAAACGGATGAAGGAAAGGAGCACTACGATCTCTGGTTTATTCTCGAGGGTAGAGGCACAAACCGAGGCAGCGTTCTTCAGGCACGATGCAAGTGTAAAGGTGGCAGAGATGGGGGATGCAAGCACCTTGCGGCCGCCACGTACTTTTTCATCAGTTTCTGTTGATTTGAGACTCGATCAGTTCAGGAAACTCGTCGATTCGCTCTTCCGGTTCGAATTTCTCAGGGGCACCCAACGACCGTTTTCTCTCAAATGCTTTTTAACGCTGTTTTAGGCTATCTGGAGTACTTTTAAAGCTCTGTGGGTTAATTTTAGGTTGCGCCAAAAAAAAATTTATCTCTTCGGTTATTCCAGGGGTACTTGAGTATTCTCGAATCTATTAGGGTTTTTTTGTTCATTTCCCGAATACCTTAGGTCTTATCACCTTTCCGAAAATGATAGCTGACCTTTTTTGGTACCCAAACCGACGTTTTTAACAATCCGAAAACAACAGACATTGAATTTCTCATATCACGAAAGTTCGAGGCGACAATTCTCTTCAGAAAATCAGAGGCGATTAAAGGCCTTCCGATCAGATAATTTACCGAAACGATCCGTTGGGTGCCCCTGATGGGGCCTGATTTCTGCATGCTTTCCTCATCAGGCTCTCCTGAACTCGCCACTGGCTCTGAGCTCAGATCTAAAAGAGTCATNTTCTTCAGGCACGATGCAAGTGTAAAGGTGGTAGAGATGGGGGATGCAAGCACATTGCGGCCGCCATGTATGCCCTGGACGACTTATTCAACTCTCGAGGCAAAGACAGTGTAACCAGTGCCCCATGCGTCTGGGTTAAAAGACCGAGAGCAAATACCCAAGCGTGCGAAGTAAAAGATTTGGTTATCAAAAAAGGTAAAAAGCCCTCCCACAAAAAAAAAGAAAACGCAAACACACGTTCTCCCAAAATACTGAAAAAGATGTCCGTGCTCCTGAAGACACTAATCCACCAGATGACAAGTACCTAAGACGATTTACCCAAAAGATGTGCCAATTAAAAAGTGATACACCGATTATCTTGCCCTTGTTCAAAAATCTTTATTGTAGTCCGAAAGCAGACACCGGTCTCGACGAGGAACCTGCCGAATCAACTGATAACAAGGCTGAGACTGGTATTATGAAGTCTAAATTAACATAGGTCACGAGGAATCATTCCAACATTTCAACTGAAGAAGTTGTGAGTTTGTTGTCCTTCAGTGATGCAGAAAGGGAGCATGTTGACAGCACCACTTCAAAGCAATGGCAATGTGAGGACTGGTATTTACACAAGGCAGGCTTCATAACAGCTTCAAAGTACAAAAGGGTCTTCACCAGGCAGGCGACACTTGACAAGAATAAAGAAGAAAATATCACCAAATTGGTAGAAGATATTGCATTGGCCAAGAGACCGCACATGCATTCCCAGCAACAGGAAATAGAACCACAAAATGCCAGGGAGTGGGGGCTATTCCATGAAGAGAGTGCTTGCAGCGTGTTGCTAGCCATACCCACCACAAACTGGAACCGGTCTCGAAACGCTTTCTTATTTCAAAGTCGAAACCTTTTCTTGGTGCTAGTCTGGATAATATTCAGCAATGTCAGTGTTCTGATGGTTGTCCAAACAAAGTTGTAGAATATAAATGCCCCTGGAAACACAGAGATCTGCACCCAAAAGAAGTTTTCCTAACCCCAGAAATTGGTGGGATCATAAATGGAAAAGAGTTTGCTTTGAAGCCTACTTCACGGTACTGCTTCAAACTTCAGCTTCAGATGTTTGTCAGTGAGCTGACCTTCAATGTCTTGGTTGTGTGAACCACAAAAGGAATCTTCACTGTTGAGGTGCCCTACAACCCAAGCTTCATGTTTAATGTATGTGCAAAACTGGAAAAGTTTTGGAACAGTCTGGTCTTACCCTTTATGATGGCTGAAATTTCCAGGACAGTATTTCAAGGTATATATATAGACTTTTCTCTATTTTTCAAATGCAACTATCCGTATGTTCTAGTCACAAACACTGATCAATTCAACAAGACAATGTATAGTAAACTTTAGAGGTACTTAAACAATAATTTGTGTAATCAATTTGTTCTGTCATGTCATAGTTGTTTTATGTTTGGAAGTTCATGCACTGTGGTAAGAATAGCTTTCCTTTTATTTTTTTTAGATTCATCACATGCACAGGAGGAATGCTCCTCTCAAGATACCAGCTGTTCACAACAGACCATCATCTCTGCTCAGCAGCCCAGCTGTTATTCAGAGGTTAACAGTAGTTCACAAGTGACTGGCCATGAAGCAGATACCAGCACTTTCCAAGGCACCAGTGCTAGCTGTTCCAAGCAGACAGCTGTTCATGAGGTTATTGATTTATCACAGTACAATACCCCTTCCATGCCTCCAGACAGTGTTGAACTTTCTCGACTTCAAATCTACAAGGCAGATGTGCAAACTGTCCAACCAAAGGAAATGATCACTGACACAATAGTTTTGTTTCTGTTCAAGTGAGTATGGTTTGATTATGCTGCATGTATTTCTGGTTGCTTGTAGCATATAGCTACATTTTTTATTGTCACTTTGTGCCTCAGGGCCAATTGCCATGACAAAGGTTTATTATATGATTTTGTATTGTAGTTTCAGGCAACTACCCCAATGCATATATCCCATTGTCAGTACCTTTTTCTATACCACTTTATGTGTTAAACATCCTCAAGGTACAGATTTAAAATATACTCAAAGTTCAATTAGTTAAAGGTTGTATGCATACATAATTGACAATTGGCTTGAGAATTTAACTGCACATGTAATATATACATACACATGCTATTTACTAAGCAGCAATATTAATAATGTCTATTATTTTACAGGCATTTACTGTTTAAGGTGACATCTAATCTTTCATTGCTTTCAGAATGGTTTGGCTAACATCTGCAGATAAGTTGTTTTTTTTTAAGAGAAACCTGCTGAACAGTGAATATGTGTTCATTCCAATCAACAGAAGGTCGGAGACAATGAATACAGTGTGATGCAAAATGTTATATGAAATAAAATAGTCTAATATTCAGAAGAGATCAATCTTCTTTCTATTTTTTTTTTTTTCCAGCTTACATTGGCTCTTGGTTGTCTTAACCCCATGGTAAGCCTTAATTGTTTAAGACAGTGCAATTAGAGTTTGAGTTTGAACATGTTAATTGTTTAGTAGATAGCATCCTGGTTATAAAGTCTATTACTACGCACACTACTTAGAAAAGTGTTTCTTGTACACTGAATGTATATAACAATTGTATCAAAATGCCTTCTATTTTTACTAGGCACTTTCTGATACTGCACTCATTGACATGGAACATTAGTATAAGGCATGAAGAAATACACAATATCAATAGGTATTACTCTTATGTATAAATGCAGTAGCACCAAACAACTTTTAGCAATGTTCTTTTATTTGCTAGAATGGTAGTAAATTCCTTTTTGTACTTAGTAAAAATATATTTTTTGATTAGCTTCTTGGATCATCTATGTGTGGCCAGTGTTATTCCCTCCAGGACAAGCCAGCAGGCAAATCATGTGCTTAAGGTAACCTACCTGTGTACATGCAGTAACGATATGGGCCGGGGTTGTCCACTACTGTAATGACATTTACATGTAACCATCATTGACATGTCCATCAAGTATTGCAAGCTAATACCAAAAAGCCCAATGGTGTTAAGAACATTCTATCGATAATTTTCTGATAATTTTGTGATTTTTCAGGTACCACAGCAGTTGAGAGGAAGCAACAACTGTGGATTTCACATGTTCATGTATATTGACCATTTTTTAAAGGTAAATGTGGGTATCATGGTTACAGCATGCAATTAAATCACCCTACAGATTTAGCAAATAATATCAAAAAAGATTAAAATTCTGTGTTTTATAAATCCCAGTTCTTTTGATAATGTTTTCACAGATTGAAGTAATGGCATTCATGTTGTATTATTCCATAGGATCTAAAGGAGTATGAAAGTGATCCAAATGGATATGTCAATGCTGAACATCAGTGGTTTGATCCCAAAGATGCTGAAACCAAGAGAACATTGACCAGGGCTTGTTTAGAGGCTTTATTTGTAAATAACTAAGGAAGGCAATTGTGGCTCTTAACAACATTAGCATATAGTTGATGCACAGGCAGTGCAGTAGTGATCTACTTGTCTTTTGTTCAACATGCTTTTATTATTGATGGCTGCAAATTTACTATTATTGCACAGACAGTTACAGCAGAGCCAATGTATGGCTTACATGTAAGTGGAATAACTCCCCTAAAAAAAATTAAAAGATTTCAGTCGTTTTATCATACGTTCAATATGAACCCTTGCAGCTGCCACTCGTCTTGTAGCAGTTGATGCTCGTGCAGAAATATTATTTTTCTGCATGATTGGCGGTACAATTAGTACAGTTTCATGTACTGCTAGATAATCCTGTATGTTAAAGCCTTTATCAGCCATTACAACATCGCCTGGCTGTAATTTTTCTAGAAAACCACTAACATTCACAATCTCCTTGTCACTGATACTTCCACTGTATAATTTTGACACAAAGTTGAAATGCAAAATAGGAGACATTGAAATAAGTAACTTAAATGTGTTTGCAGACTTGTATTGACTGTAGGTAGATCTTTGGCTGGATGGCTTACAAGGTTTTTCAACATAGAATTCAGTGCAACCTATTATTGCGCTTAAATTATTTAAAGACTTCTTTTTTAAGCAATTTGGTTCAGGCACCCCAATTAACTCCTCTTTAGTTGAGAAGGGTAAAAGAAAACTCAATTCCTTTTCTAGAAATAAAATCCAAGTTATAAATATTTTGCTTCCAGTTCCTGTGGTAATGCCAAATACATCACAAAGCATTTCCAAACTTGGATATCTTCTAAGTCTCACTAGAACAAAGACAAATTGTTCTTTGGTTGACAACTTGGCCAGCTTTTGCCTTTTCTAAAAAAAAAAATGTGTGTTACTTATATAACACCTATATGTAACACTGTTAACTTTCTTTAAAATAAGGAGTACAAAAGACTAGTTTGAATCCCAACATCTTGTTAGGAGCCATTTCTGTTACAATACATGATGGCAAGATCCTACTTCAACAGTACATGTAACCAGAGAATATAGATACATGTATATGACATCTAACCAGCTAATAACCTTCAAGTACTTGTCCTGGTCTTTCCTAACTTGGTTTTTCTTGAACCCTTCCACATGTTCATGCGTTGACTCTTTTCTTTAATTTCACTGTAAATGAGCTCAAGGCATTCTTTTGTCATACCTATAATATCAGTAAAAATATATGCATGAAAAAAAAAAAAAAAAAGAAAGTTAAGTGACAAAATGATTGAGCTCTACGCACTATACCATACAAAGGCTAGGAGTATAGATGCTTAACTCAAGTGCGCTTGATTGTGACTTGTTTACAAAATAATTGTGTACCTGTGTATTGGTAGGTTTTCTCTGGGTCCATTACTTTCTCCATAAATGAAGTCTTCATCAGCTCGTCCGTACCTGAAGTCTGATTTAATAAGAGAATGTATAAAGACTAGAACTACATGTATGAGTTTATTTTAAATTATATTACAACTTGTTATGAAAATGAAAAGTGCAAACAGCGAGGAAAATATATACTCAGTTTTTAATAATGTTTCTCTAACTTGCGTGCTGCAATCTTTTAGTACTTTTTCATCAGTCTTTGTGTTGATTTGAGACTCGATCGGTTCAGGAAACTCGTCGGTTCGTTCTAGATTTTCTGGTTCGAATTCCTCTATGCTTTCCTCATCAGGCTCTCCTGAACTCGCCACTGGCTCTGAGGTCAGATTTAAAAGAGTCATGGCGGCGGAACGTTCTTCTTTAGATTTGCCAGTATGGCGATTAAGCGTCAGCAGGGTTTTAGCCAGTGATCGTTCCAGACAAATTTTCTTGCTTCTCGCCTTGTCTGCCTCTCGCTCAGAAGATGCCTTTCGTTTACGATTCAGCCGCGACACCTAGGCAGTGTATAAAATATTAATTCAAGCGACAAACAGTGTTATAAAAGTACAAATAGATAAACTTACCCTTTCTTTCCTAGCAAGGGCAGATATGGGATCAGGATCCTCTTTTGTTGGACCATTTCCACCGACAAAATGTAGACTATAAATGTAACTGTCTTTCGTGCGCACGAACGAGTCACCGCGGTGACATGCTTTTATCCACTTTTGCCTTCTCTCGTTTTGTCTAACTGCGCCAGGAAAATGGAAGAACTTCACTGGATCGCCGTTTGGGTTTCTTTTCCACGATTCAGGGTATCGGGAATCGTTTTTACATGTACCAAAAGCACACCTTTTAGTCGTGACCATACTGTCAGAACACTACTTATCGCACACGTGGTTGACTTGAATGTCCAAACTTTCCCGGTTTAATTACATTCTAAGTCACGTGACACTACAGGTGAACTTTAACGCCGAAAAGGTGAAATGGAATTGCTTCGATTGCCGAGCTCAATGGAACTCAATACGGACTGAGTTCGACTGAGTTCGATTTGCGAACGTTCGATTGACTATGTCGGGTATTTTATACTAGTAAAAGTTTTACTACAGTAACGAAATACAACAGCGAAAAAGGAATATGCTCGCTTTCCCATTTCCCGGCCGGAATCTCTCATGTAGTAACGTGAAACGAATGATAAACAATGAAGAACCGCGAGTCATGTGAGGTGGACAAACTACCACAATTGAGATTTTAAAAAATATATGTACTAAGTAAAAAAAAAAAAAATTTACAGAGTACTGTCAATTCTTCATTTTGTCATAAACTCATAAACTATGGTAAGCAAAGTAGGAACTATGTTCTACGTGGTTTAATGTTTTTAAGGCCATTCTGTCCCTATTAAGTCAGTACAAGGGTAATAAAAGCCGAATCACTCGTAGCCTGCCATTTCGAAGGACAAACTGTACAAATAGCATTCGTAGCGCCATAATTTTTTTTGAGGGGGGGTGGGGTGATTCTCATTTATTTAATTCCTACAACCGAGGGAGGAAGAGTAAGTATTCTAATAGTGTGTATGTCTCTCTGATCAGACTTCTAGCCATACCAGAAGTAAGTGCCGGCCGATGGGCTATTAGGCTTGAACTCAGAGTTAACCTTACCTTAACTTGTACTCTATAGTGGTAACTTTAAAAGAGGCAAATCTACCACAGTCCACATCGTTATTTACTTTATTTATGTGGCATACAAAGACAACAATAGTGACCGCGGCTTCTACACGTCGCAGTTCTTACTCACCTTTAGTCTGGCCTTGCTGCTCGGCATTCCAAGTGAATTTTCAAAGATGAAAAACGCTGAAACGCACATTAATAGGACGGTGAAATCCGCCATCGTGCAGTTTCCAAATCTTCACTACAACAGTCGTGCTTTGTGTGTAGAGGAAATCAGATAGCTGATAAATCTTCATTGCAAAGCCGATGACAGATCGAACCTTTTGTAATTATAGGAATGGAACGGACGAATCATTTAAGGATTCCATGAAGAAAGGCATCGATCGCAACCGATGGATTATTATGAGATTCTGAATGAGGATATCTCGTTCTTTCTCTGATTTGCTCAATTTACAGTGAGATATATTTGTTCATGCCAGTATGGTAGGATACAAATCAAAGAATTTGTACGGAAGCCTACTAGCTCGTCTCATTGCAGCCAAACCGCAAAGGATCGTAATCGTAGTCAAGATTCGAACAACAAACAACAGATTCGAGGCTCCAAGGGTTCGGAGTGAAAATAAATTTGCGGAGTGCCACTCAACACTCAATAATCCGCCGGTTCTGCGGGCTATGCGCAATTTCCAGATCTCAGATCCAGAAACAAAGTCATTTTGATCTAGTGCTGCCATAAATGTCGTTGCTCTCATCTTTTGTGTAGTTTACAGAAAAAGCGCCAGGCTTGTGAAAAGCCGGAAGAATGAAACGAGAAGATGCTCTTACTGGCCTGGCCGTCTCTTTTTTTCCCCGCCGACTTCTTTCATTCAGCGTCGTTCTCTTACCTTGGGGTGATAAAGCTGGGTTCGATCCAAGGCGTGGAAATGGCTACGGGTACTTGTCATGTTCGGTGTTCAAGAACAATTATCAGTTTATACAAGCCCAATACAAATGGATGATTTTCATTCCGTGATCCAGGAGTCCCTCACTTGTCGACCTCAGGATTATATTTTCTGTGGTGTCCAATGACCAACACAGGGATCAAGTGATGCAGAACAAGACAGTCTTTGTGTGATGGCGCGCTCCATTATGGCGGTGTCACGTATAGTCCTCAGCTTGTTTGTGTTCTTGGAGTTTCTTCTTGTCTGCAACTGCGGCCTGACACGAGAGAAGGTTCGTCTGAAGGTAAGATAAGTTTATTGTTGACTTGAGATACTATGCAAAGAAATTTGCCACTCATACGTGTATATTCAGACAAATGGAAATGATTGGCACCAGTGTAATATTATTAGTAACATTTTAAGCAAAATTTAGCCAAGTAGTGAAGAGCCACAACAAGAGACTTTTTGGGATTAGAAGAAAAGGGTATCACCAAAAGAGTTTCACTTTTATCGTGATTTTGTTGTAACATTATGCTTTCATGTCTTCATGACTGTGGTTCCGTTTGTTGCTCTGTACTGTGGAAGATGCGCGAGGTCACATCGTACCGCATACAATTAGCTGACTCCCCCCCGCCCGCCGCCCCCCGGAAAGGCTTTTGGCTGGGAGAGGGGCAGTCAGTAGTCTAGCTAAATGGCTTCATTTTATCCTTGCCGTTTGGCTTTTACCGGGCAACATCTGTTATATTTCTGACCGAAACTGGTTTTACCCTTAACACTTATATTAGGTCTACCAAAGGGAATTTCCTATCGGGAGAGTGCTAAAAGTGCCTTATTCAAACTAACAAATCCAAATTTCATTTGTCTTGTTATACATGATCAATTTAAACGCTTTCTCTGTCATAATTTTTAAACACACGGCATTCATGGAAATCAGGTTTATAGGTAGAATATTGTTGTAAGTTAATATAATATGAGGATTAGAATTTTAAGTTCAGGATCTTAGACATTTTATTGGAATTTATTGTACCTGATGAATTTTTACCGTGTATAAATAATGATTAAAGATTAAAGAAAGATCCCACTTGTATTCAGCATCGTGGCAGGTCATAAGGGGCGGCTGTATTCGTATCATCGATGCCGTTTCTGTTTTTAAGCTCTCTTTTCTCGTTCCCAGCGTGCACTTGACGACGATGACATTGTACTCGGTCTGAAAATGTACGAGTCGAAGATGTCCCAAATGCAGACAAAAATCTCAGCACAGCTGGCAATCATGCAGAAACAGAAAAATCGGATCCAGGCCATCAAGTTTTATTTGAAACTTAAGGGTGAGGATTACGAGAAAGATGATCTTGAGGGGAAAATTACTTTTGACACTGATAAGGCGAAAGAGAGCTTGCAGCTCGCCTCACTAGATAATCTGGTGCGTGAAGTGGACCATCAAGAGACGTGGCAGAAGGTGAGTAACACCTTTCATTTCTCATTTATCCTATTATCGAAGTGCGAGGGAGAATATCAGCCCGTATGCTGCCCTGAGGTCTTGGCGGTATTACCCTGGTCTTAGTGGTTTTCCCTCTTCTTTCTTTCTCGGGAGTTAAAATAAAAAGCCTTCACGGTGGTCAAAACATTGCTTCGCGACTCGTTGGCCTCACGTTTTCTCCACCTAACTGCAGATCTGACCCAGATTTAGGCTATTTAGGCTCTCTCTTATTCCTAGACAAGTGTGCGCAAACCAAACACTATTTCAGACAAAAACCGCTCTACCTATATAGCTTATATAATGGAGTGCAGGTCTCATTTAGGTGGTCCTGAACAGAACGCCAATGCTTAAATGAGTTTTACCCATCAAGGTATCTTTTAAAGGGTTGAACGCAAAGGAATAAACACTCGCCGTCATACCGTTTGTTTGGCGTGAAATCTTTAAAATTTCGTTATACAAGGAAACTGATGGTAATGTTTATCTTTGTTAGATCTATTTATGTGTTTGTTTTATAGTGTTAAAAAATTTTCGAGAGTAAAAAAAAACTTTACGTTGGCTAAAATTAATCTCCTCTAGGGGGTTAACGCAAATTTTCCGACAAGCATTCCCAGCACAAGGTTTGTTGTCAAAATCTGCCAAATTCTAGGGATGAGAAATGAGAAGGGGTGCCGGATTAATTTTGCATTGGTGTGTTTGTCAAAAGGGTCTCCTAGATGCACTTAAGAAAGAAAACGAAGTCATGGATGATATTCACCTGCGTGTTTTGGACAGTCGAGCGATCTGTCGAGATACTACAACAGACTGGAAAGATCAGGCAAGCGGCACGATCAGAGAACTCTCCAGGCATTATGTCAAGTGCAACGAGAACGAGCTTTTGCAGAGATTTTACTTAGAAAGGAAGTCCGCGTCTGAGGACAAACTGAGATACAATTATCGATGCTGTCGGTTGAGCATGAAGGAGAACTGGCAAAGGCCCGATGACATGTGACTTGTAAAAACTGTTACTGGTATTGTTAGTGAATTAACGACTGTTGGTGCTGAAATTGTACTGCTGTTTGTAGTTAGGGCGAGAGACTATATTGGAACAATAGGTTGGTATTCTGTTAAGGTAGGCGGCAACAGTTCCCAGCAATTTCTAAGACTCTGATCCCCATTTACAAATTTTTTTCAACTTTGCCAAAACTTGCACCTTACCCTGCTAATCAAAATTCCATAAAAAAAAAAAAGAAAAAAGAAAAAAAAAAACTGGGGGTCACCGAGCTCGCTCTTGAGCTATTAGCAGTTAGAGCTCGAATTAAAGGTGTTTTTAATCGATAATACCGTTGCTATGTTAACCTATTGGATCACGAAAATGATAACGTGTTAACTAATGATTGGGCCGTTTTTTGATACCGTGATTGTAGCTTTATCTGATAAGGAGTGGTTGTAATGACCTATCAAAACCTAAGACCTGGAAAGTGCTGGAAAGGTAATCGTTGCACATTAACGCGACTGACCCGAGCGAGGTTGTACGGGAAAATGTAACGCGCCACCAAGAGGTCGCGGAAACGAGATAAGACTCGGGCTCGCGTTTTCATTAACTTTGGTTAAGGGGACAGAAAATCCTCTAGGATCAACCTCGGGCAGTTCTGGGCTTTTCATTGAACTAGCTGAAATACTGATCTCCGCAGAATACGTTTTTTGCCAATTTATCATTATCTTCAAGGTGAAGATGTAGAATTTATGAGCATCCATAAAAGATACAGCGAATAATGATTGCAATTCGCTGTGACACTGATTTTCTGAAATAACTCCAAAATTGATAAATTCACAAATAATATTCTCTTCGATCAGCTGCCAGGTCGTAAAGTCGAACTGCAGTATTCACAACAGCGTTTTAAATCTCTTTAATTTATGTACTCTGCATATCTGTGTGGATAAGTTTAGAATTCTCAGTTACAGCTGTCTGAATGTGGGTGTATTCCCTCTAGCAACATTTACTATTTGCATATTTTTATTGTACTTTGAAATTTATCGAACTATAAATATTGAATTAACTTACTTAAGCGCAGCAAGAGCTTTAGCCACTCCACTTATCATTTTTATAATTTTAACGATCGATATACACTATTTTATTTGTAACAATCGACGGGAAATTATGAACTGAAAACCATTTCGGTTTTGAGTACATAAATGAACATTAAAAATAAAAGAGTTTCCCGTGATGCAAAATTTGCTATTGATAAGGAAGTTATTTGGTCTGTCAAGCGTCAAATCTGGGATTATTTATGACCTAACAATGCTGAAGAGCTTAAAGTTTAAAGAGACGAACAAGTTAATGCTGAAGAACAACGCTGGATGAAATGAAGATGGCTGGCTATTTTAGACCCTTCATAGCGTCTTGTCTTTATTGTCGTTCTTGCGGTAAAAACCATCCATTAAACGCCCTCGTTTTCTAAAACATAAATAAACATCCTGCAGCATTAGTGACGTACATATTGAGTTTAATTTATCCAAGGCATACAGATTATCCCTTGCTATTTTTTTCCTTGTTCGAATCGACTCAGCAAACGATGCTATAGAGAAGACTTAACGATGCCATGTCAGTGAGTTTTAGACATAAGGACGGCTCTTATAGACCATGGAGTTTTATCGTATTCTAAGGTAAGGTCTAAATATTATATTTATCCAAAGTGGATCTGAAAATTTGTGTAGAAACGAACTTAACCGTTAAGAATGGCGTACTGAAGAATCACATGTAGTAGATACATGTTTGATCTTTCTCTGGTATTTTTTCAAAAATCGAGCCTGGGTTGTTAGTGAAATTCCGTATTGAGACCGCTATGCAACCCAGCCTAAAACAAGCATTTTACACAATTTTTCAGACTGAACTGCAGAAGTAAATATTAGACTTTCAGTTGCTAGTCTAGCGGCAGTATTGATATTGTCTTTCTTCGTGGATCGACAAATACTATTTACAAAAAAAAAAAAAAAAACAAGAAGAAGGAAATACTTGGAAGAATACAAAGGTTTCAGTTTACGCTCTCCATTTTGTTTTTCTGGCCTTATTTTTTCACACTCGTAGTTGGAATATCCATGCTAAAGAAAAGGAATTGCTAGAAGAATATTTAATAACTTGCTTTGTGTTGAATTTTGTCTACCTTTTTATTTTCATATTAATATTGTATTATTCATCTCAACACTCCATTCTATTGGCTGAATATTAACTTTGATTTCTTAAGTCGTGCGGCGCCTTCATGCTGGTTATCGCATTTGATGGATGCGTTTTTTTTCATATCCGAATTTCCCTTACTTTTTCAACTTTCTGAAATCTAATTATTCTAAAACCCGTTGACTGCATTCTCTTTTTTAGATTTCTCTTGTCAAAGAGAAAATGCGATGAAAATAAAAAGCATTCAGTTCAGATTCAAACCGATTATTTTATTGCAGACCACAGTGAACTTCATACTGAAATTTCAACTTTTTTTTAAGTACAAATCAAACATCATCACCTACTGAGCTGCTTTTAAACATCTCAAAAATTTGTATTTAAAATTTGCCTTTTTTCACACTTAAGTATTTATACGCTGCTAATATTCTGAATTCACTGCTTCCCTCTAGTGGTCAATGCGTACTAATGCTGACTATAATTAAACGGCTTCAAAAATCCTAAGCGCCGAAAACGGCACATGAAATTAAAATATTGTTTTTGTCTAGTCTGTAAACTAGGGGCGACAAACAGTTTAATGTGATCTGTGTTTAAAATCATAACATAGAAATGGTAAATCATGTGGTAAAATTGATTGTCAAAAAACAAAACTGTCGGCTTCCGAAGAGACACTTTGGCTCCTAGTTGTCTTGCTTATGTCAATGTATATCAAGGTAACTTCCTTATAGGAGGCCTTGGAGTATTTTATACGTTCTTCAGCGGTGGGAACTGAATTATTATTTATCACGCTAAAGTGACGATACTTAGCACTTGGGAGTTTGAATGGTGGTGAACAGTATGAAGTGCCGCACTTTAGTAGTCGACTAGCTTTTACTGATAGCACAGTCAACGTCGACTTGATAAGGTACGTTCCTTACATGATTTCGTGAGATAAAGTTACCCTCACTTTAGAGTCTACCATCTTTAAAACTTAGACCTAAGGAGTTTTGCGTTCGCCTGTGAATGTGTCGAGGATATGAAGGACACGATAGTATATGAATTCTGGTACTAAACTGTCCTTACCTTTAGAGCGTTCTGATTTTATTTCCTTAATTATGGCAGAATTCCAAAGTTCGGACGTCGTTGTTTTCGATATAGTAGCGACACTTGCTTGGGATAGCTATCTGGTGGACCTTAATAACTGACAGTTGCAATGACTACTGCAGTTAACTGCTATGTGCAATTGCTATGTGCATGTCCTGACAGATTTGCATATTTTTTAGTTATTCTGCATAATCAGGGCAGTTGGGATGGCGCCTATCAATTTGGCGTGGATTTATTTCTGGCCGTGAGTCCCGCGTGTGTTTTTTACTTTTGTTGTTGGTGGTGGTGGTTCTTTCGTCTTGGTACGATTCGAACCTTTTGCAATGTTATTGTTCCCCTTATTGTTGCCTTAGCTGAGATGAGATGAGTAAAATGATCTGCACAGTGCGTAAGCAATCAAATGCGCCACGATATTGAGTTGAGAGGCGGAGAAGGAGGGGGAGGGTTTGAAATTAAGCTCTTTGAAGTCAGCGTCCTCAAATCTTATCTTCAAAGATCTCTGGACTTAATAATGAGAACAAAGGAATCGACGACCCCACTTTTCTTGCTTTACTGTAAGTACATATGCACTGTTTGGAAGACATTTGTGGTTGCCTTGATTACAGGCAATTTGTTCAGATATGATTGACGGTTTTTCTATAGGCACTTTCGTGACCGGGCTTTGTGGCCTCAGGGTGAAAACTGGATTAGAATATTCCTCTCAGACACAAAATGCAAAATACAAATTGGGCAGACACGGTAATTGTGCCATACCATATCATGGAGTCAATCGCAGTATCTAACAGATACCGATAAATACTTTTTTTTTACTTGTGTTGTAAATTGCTTTAATGATGTGATCAAATTTCTCGATACAAGCTTACATCAAGCTCAACGCTAATCACTTCTCGATATACATTTTTCATTACTCGCTCGTTCGATTTGATCGTGTACAAAAAAGATCTCTTCTTTTTCTCTTGTCAGTTTTAAGTAAATATTAACAGCGTCACAGCCTTATTACGTAATCTCGACACACTGAATTGGTACGTTGTGTTGTCGTCAATCAGTAAGGTGAAATCACTTCCTACGATAAAGCACACTCGGCAGAGAAATGAAAAAAAACAAAAAAAACAAAAAAAAAAAAACATTGCTAAAATACATGAAATAAATTCTAGTGGTGCTTCCTCATGTATGGAGTATATAAGAAGGAGTAACGGAGAAAACTGTGTATGCTTCATCGTAGGGGTTTTAATTTGATTGAAAACTACCAAGGTGCTAACTACCGAAAGAGCTGCTTTTCGTCATTAATGCATGCCAGAATAACAGTGCAGTTTTCTGTTAAAATATGAAGTAATTTTTACCTTTCAATAATAATATAATATTAATAATAATAATTATAATAACGTATCAGTTACTTTAGCTGAGGGATAACCCTCAATCAATGGAGAACACCTTCCTTAAAAAGAAATAACAAAACCTAAAATGGTATTCGCCTATTGTCATAAATTTTGTGTGAGGGTCACCCACAATGCAAATAATTGCGTGTGCTTACAAGTAATAATCTTGTCATTTGCATTTTATTCATATTCATAGTCTTCACATGCGCTGCAGCAGCCGTCAGTTTTTGAATCGAAACCATCTTTCTCACAACCTATCTTATTTTTCATTTATCAAGGTTATAGAATATGACGTTGAATAATGAAAAGCTGAGCGAATAGATCAATCAGTGAAGATATGACTTTAAAAATGGCTATAAACAAGAACGTGGGCGGTCTCGAGTTACCTTGAGAAGATAAAAGGGATGGGAAATGACCCTTAGAAACGTCTGGTTTATTTTTTACCCTTTACCTAAAATCTACCGTATTTACCTATTGAAATTTGAACACTAGATGAACCAGTCACTCCGTCAATCCGTCTCTAACAAGTGCCATTTTTCAGTCTGTCAGTCAGTAAGTCATTCAGTCAGATGAATCAATCCATATTCCGAACTCGTAGATACTGTCTTCCAAAACTGGAAGTTACTGAACCACTACTTCAGCATTTTGCAAGTTGCACCATGCTCAATACTGATGGTTACGTTTACCTCATCTCAAACATCTCGTTTTCAAGAAATCTTTGACACCCTGAATCTGGTTCACACGGACACCAAAAAGCTGATGTTCAATTCCTTGTGTCTAATTTGAGTTTAAACGAAAAAACGTTACACTTATTATACAAATAATTTGAATAACTCGCACTCAAAGGTGATGTCCTCTATATAGTCTGAAACGCGACTGACTTATATTAGAAGTTTCACTGACCTTTAAACCAAAAGTAAACTTTCATTTTGTTGCAGGGCACAGATCGTAACAAATGAAAATGTACATTGAAGATATGCAGCGTCCTAAAATAGAGGTTAACTTTGTACCTCCTTGCCGTTGTCCCTAAAAAGCGGGCTATTGTAAGAGAAAGTATATGAGCTTAGCTTTTCGTCGGGACAATGAAAACTGTCCGAAATAAGTAGGTGTCCGTAATGCAGGGTTCCACTGTCATCAACGACGTCGGATATCCCTGTGGTCATTCTAACGGTTTTTTTTCATAACTTGTTACCAATTTCTTCATCGCAAACCACAGCATGACTCAAGCTATTGACACAATATTAGACCGTATTCATTGTGTAAGCCATAAGCCCTGCTAAGTAACTACTGCGTGCCACTAGTATTCCCAGCGATTCATTGGACTGCGCAAAACAGGGAGAAAAAAGAACCCCGTAGCTTTGTGTCTTGCATCTATAGCTCACGGTTAGGCTTTACCTAAATATACATTTTTAAGAGATTTAGACCCGACTAACTACGTTTTATGAGGGTGTATTGGAAAGACACTCAAAAAGCATGAATGACAGAGAGTTTGATTATAAAAGCCATTAGATGAATTACATACACATTCAAATGCAAATATTTTGGCTCAACTCCTTTGAACGTTGTGTGTCTGGACTGGAATCATCCGCTATGGACCGCAAAGCTCCGAAAATATTATTTTAAATATTATTTTAAAAACACAAATTTTGTTTTGCCCATATAATGTAGTGAAATGTGTTATTGGATGGCGCAATTCTTTGCCACTGAGTCTCGGCTCTCTTGCCACCTTTGTGTCGTTTGGTAAACACAACCAATTGATGTGGCCGTGTTGTTATTGCCGCTAAAATCGTCATTATTCCAAGTACGTTTAGGGAGGATCAACAGTATAATAGGAGCTTTTGAATTTCTTGCCAATAGACCCATTAACGTTTTGATGTTTATAGGTTCGTGTGGTCTTCCATTATGACATGACCTTAGAAGTGAACCACGCTGAAACCTCTTAAGCTGGTAACGTTTCCAATAGAAACCAAACTGCTTTTAGAATATAATTCAATGCGATTCGTTTGTACATGGATTAGGGGTGACCAATGTGTGTCCAATATCCACTCTTTCCCTTCTTAATTACGTGTGTCATCGTGGGCTAAACAACCAGAATTGCGATGGCATTCAGTACGCATGTACTTGTGTTCACCTTCTTAGAGCGCAAATTCCGACACGGATTAGATATATTTATGGCACAGATCTAATTCCCAGACAGAGCCGGCATAACTTGACGATGCGTGTGTTCAACTGGGACCTCGAATTTTGCCCACTTTTTTTCATCTTCTGTGCTGTGATGTGTCGGCTTCATCTACATGTACTTTATACAAAATAGTTTCAAGCCCAATTATGGTACAAGTACAGCCTTTCTGATTGGGAAACTTGTTAGTTTATGTCCAAGGATTGTACTGTACGACTAACAAGAGGAATACGGTGTACATTTTATGTTTGAAAAGAGAAAAATGGAACTCATCATAGTGATAAAATAAGAAGTCTGAAGAAACCTGCTGTGAATATAAGTGAGGCATGGAAGACCATTCACCGATTTCATGGGCTGCCATGCCTGAACGTTTTGCCGGACAGCTTGTCAGCGGTTTTTCCTTAGCCGTTTTGGAGCAGGTATAGCCACAATACAGCATTCATCTGTGTAATGTGTTATTTCATTATTATCGTAAGTGCTAATGGTCTCTGCTGGACAGGTGGGTTTTATGGGCACGACAATACAGCACTTTATGTCTTAATGTGCTCCTGTGAACGATTTTGCCGCTAAAGTATTTAGCATGGGAATTTTAGTCGCCGGTGTTTCTCTGTCACCCACTAACACCAGGATATCTAATTTGAAGGCATATCCGCTGCAGCGACGTGAGTGCTGTCTATGGTGCTATCATGTTCAGCAGCTGGCCCACAAACAAACAAGGTTGTCGTACTTGAAATTTAGTAAGGGATGAAAATCTTTTTTAAAACTTCAAGTAATGACGTATGACCTATTCCTGACCATCACGGACCGTCTCGCGTTGAATTTGCAGATTGCAAAGATTTTAGACTCTGCTGAAGAAACTAAACCAGATACCCAGGGCCTCCAGGAGAACATAGAATCTTTGAGAGAGGAGACAGAGTACTGGAAGAGCTTCATGGAAGTGGAAGAATGGAACAGAGACACGGTTCGTGAGGTTGAAACGGCATGGAGGAAAAGGTATTCAACCTGAAAGTTGGTCTGTTTATTATAATCTCGAAATTAGGTATTTTCGTTTTTATATATCGGTTAATCAGTCATCGGGCACGCTTGAGAAGCATTGTTTTCAGTTCCTTGTTTAATCCGATAACTAATAAAGCTAAGAAGCTCTCAATTGAAGTGGAATGTTTTCGTAAAAAAAATATAATTTGACGATGAGTCAAATTTATTGCCGGCCATCACAGTTGCATATATTGTTTTCGAAGTTACTCGACGGACGGCACGCTGAGAACGTGAAATAGCATCTCATTTTTTTTTCGCAACCAGAAGGAAAGAGGTTAAAATGACTATCGCAGAGCAGTGTCATTGATTCTACTGTTAGGGATAGTAATTACGAATGAAAGAAATAAATTACACGCTGAAAATAGCTGTATAGTATAAAAAGTAACAAACTTTAAATTTGCATTCGAACGCAGGTATTGGAACGAATATGAATGCTAAGTGAAGCTTATCACTCAATTATGCTTTCGTGTGTAAATTTAAATATCGACTTAACATCACCCAGCAAGAAGAGCTCATTCTTGAGACTGAAGTATTTATTTCACCTGGCCATTTGCATTTAACATTTTCTTCGAAACATTCCGTTCAAATATTTTTTCTTAGTTGAAAGTCTTGTGTTTACCGAACGTCCTATTTGCTCGGGCGGATTCTATGGCGGTAATTGACAAAATATCAAACGAGCTGTTTTTATTATTGTTAAATGAGCCGTCCTTTAATAAACAAAAGACTGTTAACACTTTAAGGTTGGCCTTTGTCCGAAAGAAAAGATTCAACTCTCCTCGTGTATCCATGTTAAACTGAAAAACTCGGTTTGTATGAATACCGATGTCTCTGCTGGGTTGTTCACAAATTGGACAAGCCCGAGACGTATTTCCTGTTTTACTTAAATCTAGGCTTCTTTTGGTGCACGGTGGTTACATGATCTCAAAACCGCATCCAAACTATGCCAAAGTGCTTTTCACGGAAACCAGTCACAATAACGCTTTTGTTATTGTATATAAAGCGGCAATAAACACTGTAGATGGGTCTGCCCTGAAACCTTTGAATTTCCTTACCTATTCTATAGGAGCCTATTCTACTGTCATTGTGATTCGGAGAAATCATGAAGAAAGGCAATTTAGACTTGGAACGTCGTAATTTAAGTCTAATTATTATTATTATTATTATTTTTTTTTTTTTGAGTGAGAACGACATAAAACGATTGGTTCCACTAACTGGGCGGTTTTATTTCTCGTGTTTGAAACGCTAACGTTAAATTCGGTGATGTTCCTTTTCAAACCGGCGAGCTTGGTTCAGTAGGTCGTCGCCTTGTAATTAAATTGAGGGCGTGACAGCTTCGAAAACCGGCCGCCATACCTCAAGTTATTTTTCTAAAACAAACGATGTATTAGACAGTGTCTCTATTTCTCGTGAAAGTATATGAACAGTCAGTTTCTTTTATATCATTTCATGTAAATAAACCAATTTTACTGTTTTGATTCTCTATAAACCTTTTGATTCTCTATTAACACGTCATCGGGTTTGGCCTTATGGCTAACGAACAAAGCATTATGCCTCATCACATAGGACAAAAATGTCGAATTTGTTATGTCACGGGGAGTTAGGGGAATCGCAAAGACTATACCGAGACTACACTGAGATTCCTGGAAGAGAAATCAATCCATTTATTCTCTAAACGTCACACATGAACACAAAATACTGATCAGTTTTATTCATATCTTTGCGAATGTCGTTTCCTCACCATCTTAATGCTTGGAAAAGCTAAGCATCCAGTTATGGCCACCACTAAAATTGCCACCGCGCCAAATATTTTTTTTATTATATTGTATAGCCTTGTTCCATTTGCAAGACTAAATCATCCATAGACCTACCGATAGCAAATGTAAGGTTTCTTAGTCTTCATTTATTTTTCCCTTGCTCGAGGCTATGAACCCAAAATTAAAAAAAAGTGTCATGTTTCACCTCTACACACGCGATGTATTACTTGCGACACGAAAGGTTAAAGATGTCGCTTTAGGTTTGTTATTCAAAAACAATTCGCCTGTTTACAAAACCTTGTCAACCCAACCACACTTCAAATCAGGACGTTTTGAAAAGTGAAACAGATTGTTCCGTCACTGGAACACTGCCTCAATTGACTGAGATAAGTGAACATTGATACACTGTGGGTGTTCGTGTAGATGAGTTATTAGGGCGAAATCTTGTCAAAGTCATCGTTCAGGTATCGTGTTAACGGCAAATTCTCGATTGTTTGAAGGTTAAAGACATTAATTTGGATGTTCATTTTCTCTTATGAATCGAAGGCATCGTTAATGTTCTCATAAACCAACTTACAATTCGTAGCTACGTGTAATTGAAACTCATTTAAATGACCGTGTACTAACTAAATTACAAACAATTGCTGCCTGTTTTTACTTTACTGAAATAACACCTTTCAGCCCCCCNCCGCCCCCTCTTTTTTTTTTCCAGGCAGGTTTTTGAAAACTTGCCCAGTGGATGTCTCGTATTTGGTAAAAACCTGTGCGAATTTCTTCCTATCGATGATGTAAGTAACTGAAAAGTAGCACGAACATTCAGAATATACCCGAAATTAAAGTTTTCACGTCATATATGACACCATCAGCAATTGAGGGTATATCATGTTGCTAAGCAACGTATCACACAAAATCTGCCTGCGGGCTCACGCAGTCAGTTCTCGTAGTCTGGACTCCGACCTTAAATTTCAACTGTGATGTGACTTGAAGATTCGTATGGTATAATATTAAGTTGTCAAATTTTTGTGTGGACACTGAGCAATATGCATTCGCTGTTCCCTCGCAATATTGACGGTGGCTGCACGGCTTGGATGCTGCAGTTGTTAAGGTGTGTCTTTGTGCAAGTAATAGTACAAAAACAGTCAGCAAAGTTTCATTACGTATTCATGGCACTCTGGAACGCCATAATCTCACCGCATCAAATACCTTCTTTTGAAAACGAAATTCGTTAAGGACAGATTAGAAATGGATGCAAAATTTCAGGTCCAAAATAAATTGTACGTACAATAGAGCAAAGTGATTACATATACACATCCCCTCAAATGTACAAATTAAGACTAGGGAAACTTTCCTCCTTTAGACCTCGAGTACCCATTGCTTGTACGAAAATTTTAATGCTTCTGCTTGTTAAGTAATACACAGAAATGCATCATACACACTCGAGTATTAGCCACTGCAGACGAAAACCACGGCAAAACGTAAATATATGCTACTCAGTGAAGTATTTACAATGTGCATGTATGGGTAATGTGTTTACATTCTTCAGCACTGTATATTCATATGCAATCTATTATTGTTCTCATCGAAAGCTTTTGTTCCATTTAACTGAGGATGGAAAAGGGCTGCATACACAAACTGCCTCATCCGGATGTTCCCGCAAACAGCTACTGCTTCCGAACGTCCTTCAGTTGGGCAGTGGTACCGAGATCTGTGTATTTGCAGAATTTGACTCAGGGTGTAGTTTCCATCACACGTAACACGAATGTTTCATGGGCTTTTCTTCTAAGGACTACTTTTTATGAGAGTTTGTAACTATTCGAATCTTCCATAACTGATGCTTCGGAATGCGTAGTGTTGTAGAGCACAAAGGTTTTTACAGGACTGGTTAGCTGATTCGAAGACAATTTGTTGATGTTTATCGTCAGAATAGATGTGAATCCAAGATTTGCTCGAAAAAAATTATATAATAACTTCATACCAAATAATATTTCTAAGAACAGTAGCAAAAACAAAATGATGGCGATAGTCAAATTAGACTTCAAACGTTAAACATGCAATGACTCATGTTTTAAAGAAGTATTGAAAATTAATTACCCACACAGTTTATTCAACAAGCTCTTTTCGGTGTCTTACGTTTAAGACGGGTTGAAATGTGTGAGGTTATCAATAACTCAAGCTTAGTAAAGCGACGGCCGGATAACTTGCTTTTCTTTTGGGGAGTTCAATATATTATGAAGAAATAAACTTTAACTGACTCATTTGCGGCTCTGTTAGTGATGCCGGGTGTTATTAAGTGAGGTAACAAAAGCTGTCAGCGAAGCAGAACCATATAAACCGAAATACAACCATGATTTGAACCGAAAAACTTTGAAGCATACTTCCAAAAAAGAATGGAACCTACCAAAAATGCTTCTTTTTCTTAATCCAAATTCGTTTTAAATGCTAGTTGATTTTAAAGCCTTGAAGGGTACAAAGAGACTCTTTTTAACAGCATAACATAATATATATCGTCGTTAATCGTGTTCAAATAGTGTTTAAGTGTTTTTTTTTTTTACTTCTTTTGGCGACAGCCAAACGATTGTTTGCTATTTCCTACCCAGAATTCACAGGTATGACAATATTACTTTCAAATAGACTGTTAGATGAGTTATTTACAACACCCAATCTGTGAATTTCTTACTCATGAAGGATTTTTACACTTATGAGAGTTTTGAAAGCCATTACTTGTTCATTAGCCATGTAGAGAGCTTATGTTGGATCTAACGGCTCTATTCATCTTCTATTAATATTTGTACAATACCTATGATGAAATGACGTTTATGCCATCAAAGGAGACGGTTTTTGCATATTCAATTCATTTTTTTCTAAGGATCTGTTTACGTAGCCCACAAACTTTACAACCGCTCATAAGCATTACTATTTCCTTTACCCCCTTCAAAGTTTTCTTAATTAACTACAAATGACTTAAATACCTTGCTGTGCTGTTTGCTTTACAATTCTCTTTAGCGGCTTTCTCTTCCCAGCGAACAGATGTTTGCAGAAGTAAAGAGATGCAAATTAAGACGACTTGTCATTGCCATTCCTCCAGTGTGAGGCAGTTGTATTTACTTTTAAACGCAGCTATACACCCTCCTCTTATTCTACTTGAAAAAGTGGATAATTGGAGCAGCAGCACAGTTCAATTTCTTATTGGCATTTACAATCAGC